CACACACACACACACACACACACACACACACACACACACACACACACACACACACACACACACACTATATACAAATATAGTAAATTGAATGAATTATGCCTAAATGTATAAATTATGCATTCAAGATTGTATATATCTTAAATTCAAGAATGTAAGATATATTTACAATCTTATGAACTCATACCAAATTTATAGGTTCATAACAAATTGTGAAAACGTTTGTAAAACCGATTGATATTCTGTTCAACAGATATTCTACATTTAATATAAATTTGTGTACGATATATTTCAATCTTTGTTAAAAAATTAGATATATCGTTTTCATAAACGATAGATCTCTAACATTCTAATATATCGAAATATATAACAGACTAGAATGTATGTACAAATGAAAGAGAACGTATTAAATTGAAGTTTCAGAGAAATGCTGATTCTTTTTATATCATTTAATTAATTATATATATATATATATATCAAAGATCTCACACTCATATATCACATAGGCTGCACAATCAGAGACTAAGAGAAAATTGATATCTGTTTTCTGATCTTAAGCAATAAAGTTGAACGAATAAGGAAAATATGGATCTCTCTTAGTCTCGTCATAAGATTTTCAAATTAAATCTAAATCTTTAAAATTTCGAAAGAAATATTAGAAAGGAAAAAATCAAGGAATAACAATACTTTTATAGTTTGAGAATAAATTCATTCTCTTAAGAAAACATATAAGCCTAGAAGAAAAAACTTTTACGTAATCATAGAACATTTTTCCTAACATATATATTTCAAGGACGTTATTCTAAAATTTTATGTCAAAAATTCGAAAAGATGAAAAAACAGTATTTTGACGGATCCAAATAGGTTGTCTGAACAGTAATTTCAGAAAAATATAATACAGTAAGAAAGTCTCCTACATTACGCTGAAGAAAAAAGATTTTAGAGAAGATCAAAGAGAAATATGAAATAAAGAATCCCATTATATCAACCATGGATCATATTGAACTTTCACAATCATGATTTAGCCTGCAAACTACATGTTGGAGATCTTTGAATAATGTCCATGAACACATCAATCTTATATTTATAGATACTCAAAAATAAAATCTATTTACAATAGGATATCAATCAAAATATCCTCTTTTCATATTGAATTAGAAAAAAGTAAGAAAAATAATTTTTAAATCGTATCTTATTATTTTCTCTTAATAATCTCGACTATTGCATATTTGATTTTAACGTATTTAATAGTCTATATTTATATTAGCTCTTAATTAATTTATTCCTGTTGATGCAATCTTGCCATAGTGCTTCTAACTTTTTGCAAGACTCCCGACATCTGTTCAAATTTGCCCGTTGAGTCAGGTAAATTTTCGAAATTGATTATGTCGCAAATGTCTTTGGAAAATTTTTCTGACGATGGTAATTTATTATACGGAGAGGTACTTGGCAATATTGGTGTACCTAAATGTACCGACTTGACACTAGTTTGATTTGTATCTGAAAATTTGTGCGAAGTAGAACGAATTGGAGTAGAATCAAATTCAGACATTTTATCGGAAGCTGACGTGTCCAATGTAATCGTAGTGTTGAAATCATTTTTAAGTGATATGTCAGGACAGTACTGTAAATCCGACTTTACAGAATCTTGAATTGAAGAGCTTCTCGAAGTACAAGGGGTAGTCGTAATACTGGAAAATGGCGTTTCCGACACAAACGCAGTATTCGAATTGTTTTTAGTTGACACGAAATCAGAATTGGCCTCTTCGATTTTCATAAGTAATACTTTTTTCGTTCTTTCTAATTCAGACAAGGATGGCGAATTTCTGTTCGAAGTAGTGTCGTCCTGAAAAAAAAAAAATGTAATTTCATAAGCAAACGACGTTACCCAATATGTACACGCCAATTTTGATGAAACTTTTATTACTGAAAATACTTGTAGAGTGAGAAACAATGTTATCCATTTCATCGGCAATCATCAATATGTTTAATAGGAAAAATTGGAATACATAGCAAGAAATTTCGTACATTCACATTATATAGTCTTAATATAATATATTATTTATTTAAAAAATTGTAATATTTACGAAAAACTGAAAATAAAAAAAATATATAACAATTATACTATTCATATCATTTTGCAACATGAGTGTCAGTAGTCATTTTCGATGTATTTTTATCCATTGAACACAAATCCGTTGTCCAAATTTGGCCATCAGGTCATAATAAAAAAAATCAAAATTACAAAAATGACAATTTTGAGGATTTTTATGACGAAGGATTCTATTGTATTTCGCGTAGTATTAACAAACTTTATTACCTATGCTATAACATCATAAAACTCAAAATTGTCATTTTTGCATCTCTGATGCTATATTTTTTAATTACGACCTGATAGTCAAATTTAAACAATGGATTCGTGTTTAGCAGGCAAAAATATAAATATATCGAAAATGGCTGTTCATATTCGTGTCACAAAATAAAATTGCACAGTGTAATTTTTTATATTATTTTCGACTTTCATTAGTTTTCTATAAACATTCTAAT